TGTAGCATAGTTTTGTTTGATAAAATCCATTTTTATATTCAAATGTAGGAACTGGGTTCTACAGTTTGAACCCCTGCTGTCTCTGGCTCCACATCCACCCCGCCCGGCCATCTAGATGTGTGAAAGTTAGTGTTTAAGCTAATGATCCATCATGTATGACATTCCTGGGAGTGTGTAAACTTACATTTTGCGTTACCACATCATCAATGTATCATTTGACCAATTCGGCACATTTGGGCAGACTTGATACAAAATTGTCCAATATTGCAATGCTTCACTGGATCAATCTGAAACTTTGCACACACCCAAAATCTAAATTGCGCCTAAACTGCAAAAATATATTTTGGCCTTTCTTTTGCATTTCAAAGATGAAGGAACCATTTTTTTAAAGCATGTTTTTTAGTTTTTATTATCTTTTACCAGATCTAATGTGTTATATTCTCCTACATTAATTTCATATTTCCACAAACTTAAAAGTGTTTCCTTTCAAATTGTATCAAGAATATGCATATCCTTGCTTCAGGTCCTGAGCTACAGGCAGTTAGATTTGGGTATGTCATTTTAGGCGAACATTTTAAGGGTCCGTTCCTTAAGAGGTTTTAAGATGCTTTTGGGAACCGGCAAAGGTCGTTTTCTTTGTAGTGGTGGTGCACTAGTGGAAAAGCGTCGCAGCAACAGCCCACATTTATTGACATGTGATTTACTCTGAGATGTCCCGAGCCGCGCGACTACAAAAAAAGACGACCTGAAACGTCAATAGCTCCACAGTACACTGCAAAACAAATTAGTTAGGATTTTCATCCACCCTTACATTAAATGCTGACATTTCTGGCAACAATTTACACAAGCAAAGGTAATGTAGAGGAATAGAAAACGAATCTTGATTTACATTTTAGTGCATCAATCTTAAATATTGCAAATGGCAGCATCTTTCTCATCATCTTCATAGCCTATAGGCTACTCCACAATCACATCAACATCATCATCATCAATCATCAATATCACCATTAATTATAGCCTAACTGTAAAACAAATATTGACTTATGATAAAAGCGTATGTTTATCACGTTGGGGGCAGTGTAGAGCTGATTTCTTGCATTTCAGAGAATGGATAAAAGACCTCAATGAAGAAAAAAATACGTTCCTCTATTGTCACCTATGTGAAGCTAGCCACAATAACGATTATCCACAATAGTGGAATTTGCGGTTCTCCTTCAAAATAAAGGTCCTTCATTGAAAGTCACGTAAACGGATACAAATTGTGGAACCATGCCATATTTGGACTAGATAACGCTAAACAAGCTTGGAATGTGAATAATTGTGTTCTGTGGGTGTCACTGAGTAGACTCATATCCCATGTCATTCCACAATCAATAGTTAAGGTTGTACAGTGCAATATGAAGTCTACTCAGTGGCACAATAGGCTGAATAGGGAGGTGATTCCCCACAGTCAAAGTCCCACAATAAGCGCTACGACGCTAATATTTGTGTAAACTCTTCACAATTTTTGTTCTGTAGGTGTTGCTGGTTTAGATCTTACCTGTCGGAAAGATATCAGTTTGTCTCTGTGAATGGTCTGTCCTCCGACAAATCAACTGTACATTTCGGTGTTCCTCAAGGTTCCGTTTTAGGACCACTATTGTTTTCACTATATATTTTACCTCTTGGGGATGTTATTCGAAAACATAATGTTAACTTTCACTGCTATGCGGATGACACACAGCTGTACATTTCAATGAAACATGGTGAAGCCCCAAAATTGCCCTCGCTAGAAGCCTGTGTTTCAGACATAAGGAAGTGGATGGCTGAAAACTTTCTACTTTTAAACTCGGACAAAACAGAGATGCTTGTTCTAGGTCCCAAGAAACAAAGAGATCTTCTGTTAAATCTGACAATTCATCTTGATGGTTGTAAAGTCGTCTCAAATAAAACTGTGAAGGACCTCGGCGTTACTCTTGACCCTGATCTCTCTTTTGACGAACATATCAAGACTGTTTCAAGGACAGCTTTTTTCCATCTACGTAACATTGCAAAAATCAGAAATTTTCTGTCCAAAAATGATGCAGAAAAATTAATCCATGCATTTGTTACTTCTAGGTTAGACTACTGCAATGCTCTACTTTCCGGCTACCCGGATAAAGCACTAAATAAACTTCAGTTAGTGCTAAATACGGCTGCTAGAATCCTGACTAGAACCAATAAATTTGATCATATTACTCCAGTGCTAGCTTCCCTACACTGGCTTCCTGTTAAGGCAAGGGCTGATTTCAAGGTTTTACTGTTAACCTATAAAGCGTTACATGGGCTTGCTCCTACCTATCTTTCCGAGTTGGTCCTGCCGTACATACCAATACGTACGCTACGGTCACAAGACGCAGGCCTCCTAATTGTCCCTAGAATTTCTAAGCAAACAGCGGGAGGCAGGGCTTTCTCCTATAGATCTCCATTTTTATGGAACAGTCTGCCTACCCATGTGAGAGACGCAGACTCGGTCTCAACCTTTAAGTCTTTACTGAAGACTTATCTCTTCAGTAGGTCATATGATTGAGTGTAGTCTGGCCCAGGAGTGTGAAGGTGAACGGAAAGGCTCTGGAGCAACGAACAGCCCTTGCTGTCTCTGCCAGGCCGGTTCCCCTCTCTCCACTGGGGTTCTCTGCCTCTAACCCCGTTACAGGGGCTGAGTCACTGGCTTGCTGGTGCTCTTTCATGCCGTCCCTAGGAGGGGTGCGTCACTTGAGTGGGTTGAGTTACTGACGTGATCTTCCTGTCTGGGTTGGCGCCCCCCCTTGGTTTGTGCTGTGGTGGAGACCTCTGTGGGCTATACTCGGCCTTGTCTCAGGATTGTAAGTTGGTGGTTGAGGATATCCCTCTAGTGGTGCGGGGGCTGTGCTTTGGCAGAGTGGGTGGGGTTATATCCTTCCTGTTTGGCCCTGTCCGGGGGTTTCTTCGGATGGGGCCACAGTGTCTCCGGACCGCTCCTGTCTCAGCCTCCAGTATTTATGCTGCAGTAGTTTATGTGTTGGGGGGCTGGGGTTAGTTGGTTATACCTGGAGTACTTCTCCTGTCTTATCCAGTGTCCTGTGTGAATTTAAGTATGCTCTCTCTAATTCTCTCGTTCTCTCTTTCTCTCTGAGAACCTGAGCCCTAGGACCATACGTCAGGACTACCGGGCATGATGACACCTTGCTGTCCCCAGTCCGCCTGGCCTTGCTGCTATTCCAGTTTCAACTGTTCTGCCTGCGGTTACGAAACCCCTACCTGTCCCAGACCTGCTGTTTTCAACTCTTAATGATCGGCTATGAAAAGCCAACTGAGAGACCTGAGCCCTAGGACCATACGTCGGGACTACCGGCCGTGGTGACTCCTTGCTGTCCCCAGTCCGCCTGGCCTTGCTGCTATTCCAGTTTCAACTGTTCTGCCTGCGGTTATGGAACCCCTACCTGTCCCAGACCTGCTGTTTTCAACTCTTAATGATCGGCTATGAAAAGCCAACAGATTTATTCCTGATTATTATTTGACCATGCTTGTCACTTATGAACATTTTTGAACATCTTGGCATGGTTCTGTTATAATCTACACCCGGCACAGCCAGAAGAGGACTGGCCACCCCTCATAGCCTGGTTCCTCTCTAGGTTTCTTCCTAGGTTTTGGCCTTTCTAGGGAGTTTTTCCTAGCCACCGTGCTTTACACCTGCATTACTAGCTGTTTGGGGTTTTAGGCTGGGTTTCTGTACAGCACTTCGAGATATTAGCTGATGTAAGAAGGGCTATATAAAATAAAATTGATTGATTGATTGATAGACTAATACCCCATTTCATGGATCCCCAATCCACAGGTGTGAAATACAGTGAGCTCCAAAAGTATTGGGACGGTGACCATTTAAAAAATGTTTTGGCTATGTACTACAGCACTTTGGATTTGAAATTATACAATGACTATGAGGTTAAAGTGCCTACTGTCAGCATTCATTTGAGGGTATTCTCATCCATTTTGGGTCACTTTTATTGTAAATAAGAATAGAATATGTTTCTAAACACTTCTACATTAATGTGGATGCTACCATGATTACGGATAACCCTGAATTAATCGTGAATAATTATGAGTGAGATCGTTACAGACCCACAAATATCATACCCCCCCCCAAAAAAAAATGCAAACATCCCATGTTATTGTAATGGTGAGAGGCTAGCATGTCTTGGGGGTATGATATTTGTGCGTCTGTAACTTTCTCCCTCATCATTATTCATGATTCATTTAGGATTATCTGTAATCATGGTAGCATCCACATTTATTTAGAAGTGTTTAGAAACATATTACATGCTTATTTTTAATAAAAGTGACTTCAAAATGACACAATACAATATTTATCATTAATTTCTATTGGGCACAAAATAATCTGAAACACAACCAAAACAAACAGAAAATGCATCCATCAAATTTGTAGAGTCACAAGCTTGATGTAATCATTGTGTGCTATGAATGTGGAACCAAATACGTAACTTTTTACTACTTTAATACACATATAAGTGAATTTGTCCCAATACTTTTGGCCCCCTAAAATGGGGGGACTATGTACAAAAAGTGCTGTAATTTCTAAATGGTTCACCCGATATCGATGAAGATACCCTCAAATTAAAGCCGACAGTCTACACGTCAACCTCATAGTCATTGTATCATTTAAAATCCAAAGTGCTAGAGAGCCAAAACAACTAAACGTGTCACTGTCCCAATACTTTTGTAGCTCACTGTATAATTATAGCCCAATGCAATTGAAGTTTAATACATCAACAGTGCAATTTCAACTGATTTTTAAATGTCAAATTAACTAATTATTGTCTTTTGTTGAATTTATATAATAACATTCCAACCTTGTTAAGTATTATCTAGTCCAAATATGGCATGATTCCACTATTTGTATCCGTTTGCATCACTTTCAATTGGGGACATTTATTTTGAAGGCAAACCGTAAATTCCACTTGTGGCTAATCGTTATTGTGGTTAGCTTCACATATGTTTTATTGTCCATGCCAACGTCATGGAAATAGTTACTTTGTTACAGAACGTATAGGAATAACATCCAATAAGTAGCTTATGCTTTGCATTAGTCGCAGACCGTAATCATTTGCTAATAATGCTTAATCTTTTTTTTATTAAAGGAAACTGATCAAGATACACAAGAACCTGTTTAGCGGGGGAAATGGAGCAAGTCCAAGGAATGTCGATCAAGACCAGAATGCACTAGTCTGGGATATCATTACTCATCTCTCTCGGCTCTGAATGCTTTCTTCCACCCGGGCCACTTTGTCTTTGTGCTGGAAACAAAATATTTTGATAATGTTTGATCATGTCGGTGGGATGTACAGCAAGTCTGTGTTCGAGGACCGTATCACGCAAGGATAACAATCAAACGATTATTCAGGATTACAACGAATTAACGCATGTTTGCAATTGTTTCTTGGTGAAAACAAGTTTTCGTATGAACCGGTGTGTCAATGCTTGTGTGATGCATGGACTGAGGAGTTACAAGTTGCGATAGCCCACAAGTTCGATTGCGGTTTCAAGTATCGAAGGTAAAGCTTGGATATCCTCAATAGAAACAAAGAAAACGTTTAGGCTAATGACACATAAGGCAATCAATAGGAATATGGTACTGATGTAGTGGGCAGTGGTTGCATGGCATGTGGTATTTCAGCAATTTATCCAGTTTGCAATTGATATTTGCAGTAAGAATACCAAAGGAAATAGCCCATATTCTCTATTAATTGTATGTGTTCAGGCATGGAGTCTCACAACCACTGAAAACCATTTGCAATTCGATGTTACTGCTTTTGTATGAAGTCCATAGGCCTACTAAAAAGATGGACAAGATTCTTGGCACAGTATAGAAAACAACCCAGGACTCTTGTGTAATCGAGTCAGAGATATACCCAGCTTGATACTGCACTAGAGAGTAAAACTAGATATAGCACTAAGGTTATTATCATGTTATAGTGCATGAGCACATATCAGTATTTGTGCCATTTGACACTTGTTGTGGCATTCCAGCAAAAGACCATAACATTTACATAACTCTTTCGCACCTTCTCTTATTGATTCAAACAAGTGTTGGGTGACTAAAGTTGAGATGAGCTGAAGTAGTAGGGCTATAGTTCAACAATTTAGAGATCACCTATTTGTACAACATGTGTTAAAACGTTGTGCTCAAGGGTAGCTGCATCACAATGATTTTAGGCAGCGTGTGCGTATGATATTCATCAGAGAGTCAAAATGTCGATGAAAGGCAAGGCACTCTACACTTTCCAAAGTGAAAACAAAGAGGAGATCAGCATACAGGAGAATGAGGAACTGGTTATCTTTGACGATAACTCTGTAGATGGCTGGTTACAAGGGGAGAACAGTAAAGGACAGAGAGGTCTCTTCCCGGCCTCTTACGTGGAAGTAATCCGCCCTCGTTCCAACTCCAACCTGACAGACTGCTCCATAAGCCCAGTGGGTTCTCCGGGCAATGACTCCTCGTATTTCCCCTCCGCCCCAAACACACCCTTTCACATGCAACAGGGTTACTATGACGATGACGATGATGACTGGGATGATTGGGATGACAGTTCCACAGTGGTGGACGATGATGGCCGCAGTGGTGCAAATGGACATTCCCATCAGAGCCCCCACTCCAACAACCCCAATGTCCACTATCGCGCCAAACCATACATGGAGAGGCAGGACAGCATCTCCAGCTCGCGGAAGGGCAGTATGGTGGGCAGGAACTTGAACCGATTCTCCAGCTTTGTCCGCTCAGGGGTGGAAGCGTTTGTGTTGGGCGATGTGCCCATGAATGCTAAGATAGCGGAGTCGTACACCATTGAGATGGGCCCCAAAGGGCCTCAATGGAAAGAAAGCCCCACACCTTTCTCTTGCTCCATCGAGGACCCTACCAAGCAGACCAAGTTCAAAGGCATCAAGACCTACATATCGTACCGAGTGACCCCAAGCCACAATGCGAGGCCTGTGTACCGGCGTTACAAGCACTTTGACTGGTTGTACAACCGTCTACTGCACAAGTTCACAGTCATCTCTGTGCCCCACCTGCCCGAGAAACAGGCAACGGGGCGCTTCGAAGAGGACTTCATCGAGAAGCGCAAGAGGCGGCTGATCCTCTGGATGGACCACATGACCAGCCACCCGGTCCTGTCGCAGTACGAGGGCTTTGAGCACTTCCTCATGTGCGCTGACGACAAGCAGTGGAAGCTGGGCAAGCGGCGGGCAGAGAAGGACGAAATGATGGGCGCCAACTTCATGCTCACCTTCCAGATCCCAAACGAGCACCAGGACCTGCAGGATGTGGAGGAACGTGTGGACTCCTTCAAGTCCTTCGGCAAGAAAATGGATGACAGCGTCATGCAGCTTACACATGTGGCCTCGGAACTGGTGCGGAAGCACCTCGGAGGCTTCCGCAAGGAATTTCAGCGGCTGGGGAACGCTTTCCAGAACGTCAGTCAGGCGTTCATGCTGGACCCTCCCCACTGCTCAGACACCCTCAACACCGCCATCTCCCACACGGGACGCACTTACGAGAACATCGGGGAAATGTTTGCGGAGCAACCTAAGTATGACCTCTTCCACATGCTGGACAAACTGTCACTCTACCAGGGCCTACTCGCCAACTTCCCCGACATTATACATCTACAGAAAGGTAATGTACACTCCCCTTATCATGTGCCAATTAGTGTTAGACCTAGAGTATAATAGCTTGTCCTAGAGATGAATATTCAACTCATTGCATTGCCTCACATGGAAACAAAGCCTCAGTGTCACTCTTGTGATAAAAACTGTTATAGCTAAGTTCGGCCCATATTGATATGTTATAAGTGATCATGCATTACCACAACAGCTGGCAAATCAATAGGGCAACTCTTAAAAAGGACTGGCGGATAGTGGTCCAGAATCCTACAAACTAATTATTTCCAGGGGCCATACAACACATCTGTTGTTAATCACATTGTTAGGAGGAAAAATTGAAAAGTGGAACAAATTTAACACAGCAGTTGGAATCATTCAATGTTCATTGTTAAGATTTGATTCCAAATGTACAGTGGTGACGTCCTAGGTTCATTACTGGATGACATTTCGGGTGAGAAGTTTTTGCCTGCAGGGGCACAGGAAGAATCAGCCATCTTCTTACTCAGAAATCAAGTGTTCCTTGATTGATGGACGCTGACAGTTCTATCAAACATGTCTTTGAGCTCTACTCGAACGGTCTCTCTTAAAACTGACCAGTTCTACTGCTCTGTCACTATGCTAAATGGAATGATAATCGAAGTACCCCCCAAGCCATTCCTTAGCTGCATGTAGAGGAACTTTCAACACTGTGTACAGTCTGGTACCAGAGTACTCAATCACACTGTACATTTTAAAGTCTACTGGGTTTTTAAATAATTGTGTAACATCCGCTGCTTCCTCTCGTGCGGGGAAGGATGGAAGAAAGTTCCATCACATCAATAGAGGAACAGCTAACTTGTAAACATTTCATCTTTGATAGTACACATCCACTACCACCAGATACACCATTTTCTAAGATAAAAGTGCTTTGAAGTTCCCTGCAATGTAGGGCTGGGCGATATTTAAAAAATGTTTGTCGGTATGACGATATTTGATGGTATTATGTTTTGGAATAATACAAGTTCTACATTTGCTTTATGAGTTGTGTATGACCCTAGGGTGGCAACACATACATTCTAACTGATTTCAATGGGTATTTCTCCATTCTGATTGTTTTATACTGTTCAATCAAACTTCAACCAAAAGTTGATATAATTTAGATCATTTCCACACGGCCACGTAGGGCTGCACGATATGGGCAAAAATCGAGGCCTTATTTTTAACCAAATATTGCAATTGCGATTTGACTTGTGATTTAGATCAAAACACTTGGGTGACACTTGTTGGAATCATGGAAATATAATGATTATTCCAATTCTATAGTTAGAATGTAATAGTGGTCACTTTAAATACAGTGTTGTTTAACAAATGAAAAAGCCAGGGAGCGTTCAAAGAATTAGGAATTACAATACTAATAGGATCTCTATGCAGGTGTTATTGTGACAGGGTAGGAACCAAAGTGTTGGTCAGTGTTTCCCAGGGGAGTGGGACCCTATAATCTTTGGCTACATTAAATGTTTTTTTCTCTTACTTCATGTAGCTAACATTCATGCTCTCTGATTTAGAAGATACTGTTGCACAAACAATTTAGGCCTACTCCAGCACTGGTATCAGGCTGTATTAGCTAGCTACGTTTGCGCTCAGTAAATCAGGGATATTCAACTATATTCTTATGGGGGCCAGATTTGAAAAAGGTTATTTACAGGGGGGCCAGACATTTTATACATGGGATTACTTTTCCTAAGACCAGTATAAAAAAACAATGCACAAACATAATTATAATCTTATAAAGCACTTTTATTTAAATTAAATGTTGCTAAAAGTTCATTTTAAGTGCTTAGCCTAATTCAGTGTATCAAATTGTTTAAATAATGGAACACATTTGTACTTATAACACAGTTGACCTCCATCACATTAATACATTTCTACTTTCCTGTCCGTTTTACATACATAGCTTCATCTTTTGCTTTATTTACACATTGGAAACCTTTTATGCATGGCGTATCTCAGCTGACCAGCATCACATTCTGTTCTATTTTCTATTTCTTTATTATTTCATTATTTTCTCTGTCTTGTTGTGTTGTTTTTTTTACACATAGAAACCTTTTTATGCATGGAATATCTCAGTTGACTAGCTTTTGTGGAGAAGTCACTCTCCCCCCGCACCTCTGTGGGGACTTAAACTCACCAGATCTTGTTGCAAAGTTAGCTTTCAGTTTATCTAAAAACTCTTGACGTCACGGGAGTGATCTGTACTGATGATGACTGAATATAGTTGAGCATTTGTTTGGGCTCAAATCAGAGGAGATAATAACACATTTATTTTGAAAGGAAGTCCATTTGTCAATCATGTCAATAACTGTTTTATCCCTTCCCTGTAGTCCCAAAGTAAGTCCATTCAATTGATCACTAAAAAACAAGCATTTTCGCAAGATGTGTTGGCTTTCTTATAGTGGCATTCGCGGAGAAAAGCAACTATCTCCTCCCTAAGCTCACATAGGCTGCTCTCTTGACAGCATTATTAACCTTGCTTAGCCACCTAACATCATGATGTAAAAGTAGATAATGATGCTCAACAGACTACAGAACAAGCTATGTTGCAGGCTAGATGTTAATCGGATAAAGTTTGATAGCCATAACTGAGTCCATGGTGTTTTTTAACTCACCGTTGAGTTAAGTGCAAAGCACGCTCTGGTGTGTCAGGCAGTGTAGGGATCTCATCTGCGGTGAAATAACCGATAGGCTGGCAGACAGACCCTGTACCCCTGTTAGCAGCTCTGATTGGCTGTAACTGTTATGTTGGATGATATTGATTGACAGCACTTCATGGGCTGGACTACAGGAAAACAGATTCTCCCATTGAAGAATGTTAAACAAGGAGGGGGATTTTTTTTGCAGATTTTTAAAATGAATGTTCAGAATTGATCAAAGGGCCATTCTAAATTGAAAACGGGCCTGATCTGACCTGCGGGCCGCCAGTTGAATAGCCCTGACGTACATTTATTAGCTAGCCAGCTAACTAGCGATTAGCATTAGCGGCGAACACGATTTATTTTGGCCACAACTTGCTAAGAAAAGACAAACTAGCTGTTTGCTGACAGTAAGATACATAAACTAGTAGTGTAATTATAGAACGCTTGTGGATTTATGTTAAGAAGCAGAGTGGAAAGCAGCATCATTGTCATCAACATATTGTTGCATCTGCTGCATTGACCATGCAGACTGAAGAGTGAATGGTTGACAAGTGATCTCATGGTTGAGCAACAACAACTCCGCTCCTAAAGTGACAGGGGGTGGGGCTTGGTGAGAGAGAAGGAGAGAGATGATTCAAGTAGCGTAGTAAACTATAAAAATGGACTGGCGTATCACATTTAATAGTGATGGGGGAAATAAATCGATACAGTTACATACCGGATATTATTTTTGACTATATATCGTATCGACAATATCGCAATATTATTTTTGCGCTAGTTGACTGTACCTGCAAAACTCCAGCATTTTTCCTTCATAGCTTGTTCTCCATTTTTTTAAATAGGGAGCCAATTCAGCACTTTTATTTCCATGACTGATCAAAACTTGCTTTCTCATGACTCTCTCTTGTCCCTCTGCAGCAGAAAAATGGTAAGCAATATATCACAGTATCGAATCGCAATTCGGAAAGTATTCAGACCCCTTGACTTTTTACACATTTTGTTACGTTAAAGCTTATTCTAAAATTGATTGAATAGTTTTTTACCCCCTCATCAATCTACACACAATACCCCATAATGACAAAGAAAAAACAGGTTTTTAGAAATGTGTGCAAATTTATACAAATAAAAACAGAAATATCACAATTACATAAGTATTCAGACCCTTTACTCAGTACTTTGTTGAAGCACCTTTGGCAGCGATTACAGGCTCGAATCTTCTTGGGTATGACGCAAAACACCAGTCTCAACGTCAACAGTGAAGAGGCAACTCCGGGATTCTGACCTAGGCAAAGTTGCAAAGAAAGTGTTCTTTTGCCCATCTTTAATTTTTATTGGCCAGTCTGAAATATGGCTTTTTCTTTGCAGCTCTGCCTAGAAGGTCAGCATCCTGGAGTCGCCTCTTCACTGTTGACGTTGAGACTGGTGTTTTGCGGGTACTATTTAATGAAGCTGCCAGTTGAGGACCTGTGAGGCGTCTGTTTCTCAAACTAGACACTCAAATGTATTTGTCCTCTTGCTCAGTTGCGTACCGGGGCCTCCCACTCCTCTTTCTATTCTGTTTAGAGCCAGTTTGCGCTGTCTGTGAAGGGAGTAGTACACAGCGTTGTACGAGATCTTCAGTTTTTTGGCAATTTCTCGCATGGAACAGCCTTCATTTCTCAGTACAAGAATAGGCTGACGAGTTTCAGAAGAAAGTTATTTGTTTCTGGCCATTTTATCCTGTAATCAAACCCACAATCGCTGATGCTCCAGATACTCAACTAGTCTCAAGAAGGCCAGTTTTATTGCTTCTTTCATCAGCACAACCGTTTTCAGCTGTGCTAACATAATTGCAAAAGGGTTTTCTAATGATCAATTAGCCTTTTAAAATGATAAACTTGGATTAGCAAACACAACGTGCCATTGGAACACAGGACTGATTGTTGCTGATAATGGGCCTCTGTACGCCTATGTAGATATTCCATTAAAGATCAGCCATTTCCAGCTACAATAGCCATTTACAACATTAACAATGTCTACACTGTATTTCTGATCAATTTTATGTTATTTTAATGGACAAAAAAATAGCTTTCTTTCGAAAACAAGGACATTTCAAAGTGACCCCAAACTTTTGAATGGTAGTGTATGTAAATAAGGTATTTCTGTTTTTTTACTTTTAATACACTTGCAAAATTTTATAAAAACTAGTTTTTGCTTTGTCATTATGGGGTATTGTGTGTATATTGATGAGGGACATTTTTTATTTAATCCATGTTAGAATAAGGCTGTAACGTAACAAAATGTGGAAAAAGTGAAGGGGTCTGAATACTTTCCGAATGCACTGTATAGAATCGTGAGAATTGCAATACATATCGTATCGGCACCTAAGTATCGTGATATCATTTTGTGAGTCCCTGCCAATTTCCATCACTAACATTTAACAAACCAAACATTGAAGTACCGTTATAGAAGGTAAAGTAAAAACCCAAACCGGTCCGTGCATCAATACTGGTATATAGTAAAATACAGTATACCGCCCATCCCTACAACAATATGTTTTGTCTTCATTAATTTGTTTTATTTAATTTACTTTCAAGTGCTACTTTTCTGCAGTGTGGGTTTCATATGATGCAGTATCGTTGGTTATGTAGAACTTACAGGTAGCCTAACTGCCAGAATTAAGGAAACACCAACATAAAGTGTCTTAATAGGGCGTTGGGCCACCACGAGCCGCGAGAATGGCTTCAATGCGCCTTGGCATAGATTCTACAAGTGTCTGGAACTCAATTGGAGGGATGTGACACCATTCTTCCACAAGAAATTCCATAATTTGGTGTTTTGTTGATGGTCGTGGAAAACGCAGTTCCGGGCGCCGCTCCTGAATCTCCCATAAGTGTTCAATTGGGTTGAAATCTGGTTGCTTATGTAGTTCAAGCTCCAGCAAGCTAGCTGTATTGCATGGATTTAATAGACATTGCTAGCAGCCTAGCTCTGTAAGTCAAGGCAAAGGAATGTAATGGTCCAAGGCAGAGAATATAGCAGCCAGGAGCTGTAATGACTAAGCAGATTCAGCTGGCTGGCAAGCCAGGTCATCACAGCTCCTGGCTGCTAGAGTCTCTGCCTGGTCTCATAGCAGTTCAAGGGATGCTACTAGCTTTAGAATACATTTCAAATACAAAAGTAAGTAAATTAGATATATATTATCTATGAAATGAATAATGCCATCACTAGATGGGAAAAATGTCTTGCTTCCATGATATTTTTATTCTGCTGAGTCCCATTTGCACATTGCACATCAGCCCACATATAACCTACATAAATACATTAATGCATTCAGTGGTGAAGTTTGCATGTTAACAAATCAGTTGGGTGGTCAACCACCTTGCACAAACTGACAACCTTGTAATGACAGGGACATGCTACAGTACAGGGCCGGCTCCAGGCATAAGCGACATAATCGGTCTCTTGGGGCCCAAGGCCGCTAAGGGGCCCCTAACCCCCCAATTAATTTTTTTTGTAACTCAGTCCGTGTCTCAATTTACTGTTGAGAGTTAGAATAGTAGAATACACAAGGTCATCTCGCTTAGGGCCCCCAACCAAATCTCACTAAGGGCCCCCAAAAGGCTAGAGCCAGCCCTGCTACAGTATGTATGGTACAGTGAGCTGTAAGAAATACAGCGTTTAGTGTCAATTCAAAAAGCTTCCATCTGGGGTGATATTGGATGTGCCTTGCCCCATACAATCCCAAGGATCATTAACCTCCATTGGATGCATTGAAAAGGGTTGATACGCCTAGAACATGCTTAGGCATAGCTGATGCATTTGCTATGGCCTACAACTTTGACGTGTCTGTATTTGTCATCAGGGTGGTGCAGAATTTGAGCAAGATAGTCAAACGACCAGCATACCAAGGCCATGCTTCAGTTCCCAAACAACCCACATCAGGTGATGGAAGGGGGAGGGGCCTCCAGCACAGGAATCAACATTTATCTTAGTTGTCCATGGGAAATAAGGGCGTTGGTGAATGTTGCAATCTTAAGCAAACAACTGCAAAGAGGTCATTCGTAGCTTAATAATAGGGTCCAGCAAATCACAGCTGCACCCTTAATTGTACATTAATTGAAAGTCATTTGAAAATGTCAGAGATAATAGCATGATGTTAGAGACCAATAGTCATATTGATTCAACTGCAAATATTGGAAATACAAATATAAGCCTACTCATGAAAAATGTGGCTGACCATTGAATGACGTTGGCCCAATGACTGAGATCTACATGTAGTGATAGCATAGTCAAAAAGAAGAATATGTCACTGCACTGTACAGTACATTTCATAATTCCACTTCCTCTCAGCTCAGTGTACTCTCATTACCTGAAGGCAAGGCACATGAACACATCATATCTAAGAATATATATTGAGGGTTACGTCACATTTTGGATCAATAACTATAGCCATATTTTCTTGAACAACATGGAGTGGCGAGTTTACTGTTGCAGACTTGACTATCAGTTGAAGCTTCCCAGCAGTCTGAGGTCCTGAGTGCTCTGGAGCAGGTTTTCATCAAGGATCTCTCTGTACTTTGCTCCGTTCATCTTTCCCTCGATCCTAACTGGTCGCCCAGTCCCTGCCACTGAAAAACATCCCCACAGCATGATGCTGCCACCACCATGCTTCACCGTAGGGACGGTGCCAGGTTTCCTCCAGACGTGACGCTTGCCATTCAGGCCAAAGAGTTCAATCTTGGTTTCATCAGACCAGATAATCTTGTTTCTCATGGTCTGAGAGTCCTTTAGGTGCCTTTTGGCAAACTCCAAGCAGGCTGTCATGTGCCTTTTACTGAGGAGTGGCTTCCGTCTGGCCACTTTACCATAAAGGTCTGATTGGTGGAGTGCTGCAGAGATGGTTGTCCTTCTGGAAGGTTCTCCCATCTCCACAGAGGAACTCTGGAGCTCTGTCAGTGACCATCGGGTTCTTGGTCACCTCCTTGACCAAGGCCCTTCTCCCCCGATTTCTCAGTTTGGCCGGGCGGCCAGCTCTAGGAAGAGTCTTGGTGGTTCCAAACTTCTTCCATTTAAGAATGATGGAGGCCACTATGTTCTTGGGGACCTTAAATGCTGTAGACATTTTTTGGTACCCTTCCCCAGATCTGTGCCTCAACACAATCATGTCTCGGAGCTCTAAGGACAATTCCTTCGACAATCACATTGTAGAAACATCAAGGATGATCAATGGAAACAGGATGCACCTGAGCTCAATTTCGAGTCTCATAGCAAAGGGTCTGAATACTTATGTAAATAAGGTATTTCTGTGCCTTGCCATACAATGACTATGCAATAACGTCTCACATGGATGGAACCAGTGACCCCGATCAGGGGTGTAGTGGAGGGTAAACACATGTAAACGTTGTTTACACACTTTTTTATTTGTGAAATAGTGTTTACTCACCTTTTCATTTAGTTAATTATCGTTTACCCACTTATTATTGCGTTCCCAGTGTTGATCAAAGCTCAGAATGATAATATTCTTATCTGAGTTCTAATCACACCTGCCTCTCTGCGAATGAGTGGAATCATGATTCAGGTACGCATTCATTCACCACTCTTATCCAATGGCAAACTCCGCCCACGGCACAGGCTGAGACGTGAAATGAACTACCTCAACCCAGACCAAGTGGCAAGTAGAGACACCACTGACAGTGGGCTTGCGAGATGCTGGACATAAGGCCATTTTTAACCGTCCCTCGACTCTTGTCGTGTCAAAAGACATCCCCCAAACAAACAAAAAACAGACTCTCTGAGAATGAGTGTAAAACTGGTAATAAGTCGCTGATATTTCAGTCAGGTGGCCAGCTAGCTAGCTCAATCAAGGGCTCTGGCTACTGTTAGCCAGCTAGTTAGCTAGCTAACGTTATAGCAAACTGTCTAGAAGGATAAAGTTAGAAGCTATTGTTAAACAAAGCCTGGCCTCAGCAGGAGCAGTTGACTGAAATTATTGAAATAAATAAATTAGGCCCTAATCTATGGATTTCACATGACATGGATTTCACATGACTGGGCGAGTGGTTTGCTGATGTCTACATTGTGAACAGAGTGCCGGGCAGACATAAGCTACGGACAACAAACACAATGGCATTTGATCGATGGAAATTGCGCTTAGTGGGACTATCATTTGTTTTACAACAGGACAATGACCCAAAACACACCTCTAGGCTGTGTAAGGGCTATTTGACCAAGGAGGGTGATGGAGTGCTGCATGAGATTACCTGGCATCCACAATCACCCGACCTCAACCCATTTCAGATGGTTTGGGATGAGTCGGATGGCAGAGTGAAGGAAAAGCAGCCAACAAGTGCTCCGCATGTGGGAACTCCTTCAAGACTGTTGGAAAAGCATTCCAGGTGAAGCTGGTTGAGAGAACCCCAAGAGTGTGCAAAGCTATCATCAAGGCAAATGGTGGCTATTTGAAGAATCTCAAATATAAAATATATTTTGATTTGTTTAACACTTTTGGTTACTACATGATTCCATATGTGTTATTTCATAGTTTTGATGTCTTCACTATTATTCTACAATGTAGAAAAAAAAAACCTTGAAGGAGTAGGTGTAGGTGTGTCCAAACTTTTGACTGGTACTTTGTATGACACAGTACATGTCACACCCACATGACATCACAGCTTACCAATGGGCAAGTGTGCAGCTGAGTGGGTGAGCATCGTTATCTTTTGTGTTTTTCAATGAGCACTGCAGTGTAGCTGGACTAGCTGTCACTTCCAAGGAGAAAACCACCTGCTGAAATCTTGAACAAAGAGGCGAGGGAACACAATGGAGTGAAACTGAATGACCCCAGGGGTGTCGGTATCGGACAGAGCTGCTGTCCACACGTTGCATAAGAGGAAATGTGAGGAGCTGGTTCCCATGCATGGTAGCCTAGATCTGGTAACACCTGCCCAAAGAGAATACATCAAATTGAAGGAAAGGGGAGGAGATTATGGGCAGAAAAACACATTGGAACTATGTACTACTATAATGTGACGATATGTCATTCCACCAGCAGCGTTTGGTCTCAAATACCTTTTTTTGTATTATTTTCACTCACATTTGTTTAGCTCGATTCCTAGTGCAAGATGGCGTCACATCATGACCAGCCAGCCCTCTCACCTGAGGCCAGTCAGCCCTCTCAGACATAGTTTACTCTGAGAATTAGGTATCGCTTCCCAAGTCCCCAGTATGCATACCCACGGTCGGCCATTGAGGCTTTGAAGTGAACAAGAGGCCTGCTTTGTCCTACAGTGTATGTGGCAGAACACATCACATCCATCTATCAGGGTTTTTCTTATAAAGCAAAGGAAACAAAGATGTGTGTGCCTGGTTTCGTGAAAATGTGGGCCAAATGACCTCTCCATCTGTTACTGCACCCACAGGGAACAGAGAGCAGGACCTAGAGAGGCACATGGCCCTAGATACATTACCAGGAATGACAGGGTGTGAGTGAAGATGTAAATGCTGGCTGGTTGTGTGTGTGAGAGAGGGTGCATGCGTGTGTGCTCTGACCCAGAGATTAATAATTGATATTACAGCATACTACAGGATGACCCTATGTTAGTCAGGCAGGCCCCCATTGATTAGACCCTAGAGCACAATGTGTCCATCCTATCCTAAATAGCACATTGGTTAGGCAAAAAATGTGTCACACTACACAATAGCATGAGCACAAACTGTACACAGCAATTCAGACCAATTGTGATCAACAGGAAGATAAAGACCACAACACCTTTTAAGTTGTCCAGTAATGGCACCTTCTGTAACCTGCTTAGTCTGGGCTGTGAATGTTTTCTCTTGTCTATTTGCTCACACATAAATCTTGACAAACGGTAGGACTGTGTTTTCACACACTGTCTATCCAAATGTCTTTGCATTCCTGGCTGGCTGTGTTTCCTAGCTAGCACACTGCTGTTCCACAGTGGTGAAGTTATACAATACAGAAGTAATACAGATGTCTTAGAATATTAAAATCCTTTAACTGCTTTAAGACACATACTGTATGTTGCATCTTGCAACTTGAGCCATGAATTTTATATGTATTTCATGATGAATTAACGTTACCATGTTGGTAAAGTAGTTCCGTTTAGCGAAGTGTTTGTTTGTATTTTCTAAAAGCTTTTCTGGTGTTCCAAAAAGGACCCATTTGTTGCAGAGAAAATTCACAGGCTTCTGCTTGGCCTTAAATGCTTGGCCCTCCTACCTCTTCCAACCCCCACACTTCCACTCCCCTTCCTCTCTCCCCTGATTGCAGGACATCAAATGGAGCTATAACTGTCTGCTCTTTAAGACTTGGCATCTGCGCTCTATGTCTGCCGGCCTGATAAAGCTGACAATGGTTGGCATGGAGAAGTTAGCCATCAATCTGGTGCTGTGCTGAGTTGTACTGGCTGCACGGTCTACGTACAGACGTGTGTGTGTGTGTGTCTCTGTCTGTCTGTCTGTCAGGTAGAAATAGGCGAGCACAAAATATTATGTGTATGGAAAGGGGTTAGCCATGTCGCTCGCTCATCTTTTTATTTTTATTAAAAGTTTTATTTTGACCAGGTAAGTCCCATTGAGATATGAATCTATTTTTAAATTGTGTCCTGGTCAAAAGGAAGAAGCAGCTGCTCTTTCCTTTCAAATGGTAATCTTGTAATATGTACCCTCTGCTGGGTCTTGTGAATAGTAAAGTGGCTAGGCTTAAACCATAATTGCTTGTTGTGTTATGAGAGCTGTGCTTTTGATCAGATGAATCACTAGTTCGTAGTATGGGTCTACTTAAAAAAGGCACGCAAAATCGTGGAGAAGGAAGGGTCGTGTTGCCAATGGCAATCACTCTTAATCAACGACACTGTAAGAGACAGGAACACAATGTCAATTTATCACGCTATCCAGCGAAACATGACGGTGTTATAGTGTTACAACACAGTTCATCAGACTTCCAACAAGTCATCTGTTGAACAATACTCTAAGTGTGAATATGGTTAGACCAGTTGGATCTGTTGAACACGTGTCTCTCTATGTACTACACTTGTTTGCAATCACGGACCAACACATGACCAAACACATATAAATTAAGGAGGACCAAGGCACTCTTCATGCAATTAAAATGCCTTCATTGTGGTGGCATGTTCAATTGAACAAAATCTTTCAAACTCAGAAACGTTTTGGCATGTCTTGTCTAGCCTTTGTCAGGGAGTGATACCATGAACAACACAATTTAAATTCTGAGGTATTATTAACCTTTTCACGTTTGCGTTCCAAATATCTCTAACGGTCGCCCCAGTGTGAGTTTTTTTATGCGCATGATATCAGGATACACTCACTGTTCCAAAATGTGATTGTTACGCAACAGGACAGTTAACCCATGCTGCCCTCAAACCAAGACACGCTGCCTGCTAATTATCTATAGGATAGGCTGTTTCAACTTGTCAATTTCTAATTATTTTGGAACAAGTTTTATTTTCTAACAGTTTGAATTGGAGGAAACCAGATTTTGTTGTGGCACAGATCTGGGGAAGGGTACCAAAAAATGTCTACAGAATTTAAGGTCCCCAAAAACACAGTGGCCTCCATCATTCTTAAATGGAAGAAGTTTGGAACCACCAAGACTCTTCCTAGAGCTGGCCGCCCGGCCAAACTGAGAAATCGGGGGAGAAGGACCTTGGTCAAGGAGGTGACCAAGAACCCGATGGTCACTCTGACAGAGCTCCAGAGTTCCTCTGTGGAAATGGGAGAACCTTCCAGAAGGACAACCATCTCTGCAGCACTCCACCAATCAGGCCTTTATGGTAGAGTGGCCAGACGGAAGCCACTCCTCAGTAAAAGGCACATGACAGCCTGCTTGGAGTTTGCCAAAAGGCACCTACAAGACTCTCAGACCATGAGAAACAAGATTCTCTGGTCTGATGAAACCAAGATTGAACTCTTTGGCCTGAATGCCAAGCGTCTGGAGGAAACCTGGCACCATCCCTACAGTGAAGTATGGTGGTGGCAGCAACGTGCTGTGGGGATGTTTTTCAGCGGCAGGGACTGCGAGTAAAAAAAAATGTTTTACTCGCACAGCCAAGTCAAAGGGTCCAACAACCCTCCCGAAAGCAAAACTTTTTTTTTAACAACCATCCTATTTTGGACTATCCCTGAGTAAATTTTGAATTATCCCTAAATGGTAGCAGTCTGGAGCCATGTGTGGGAAAGGAGAACGCACCAAACTGTACTGGAAATTCCTGTGTTTAATTTGCCAGAGTGTTTGTGTTCACAGTTAATCTCTCCCACCCCCCACCCCCTCTCCTGTCCCTCTCTATTCCCACTTCTCTCTTTCTGTCAGTCTTCCTCCATTGCATAGCATGGTTGGCATACCAGTTTCGCTCTCACTGTGACTTATAATATAGCTCAATTCTCTCCACAGCTTAGAATGGTCACAAGACATGTGGTACAGTAGCTGAGGAAAGCCATCTGGTTGGACTAGATAAACAAATCTGGTGATGGCTTTCCAGGCCATTGGACATTTATATTTATTATAGCAGGCATTTATTCCAGTGGATTGACATGAGTAAAGGGATACCAATCTTCTACAACTACCACTACTACGACGACTACCACTATTACTAATTGTATTTATTTAGCACATCACAGTGTAGGTGCTTAAATGCACCACATACGTAATGGACAGATACAATATATTCATGTTATATACGTTATATAACGAGGGCATTGCGTTCATCCACCTCTGGCCTGCTGGCTCCCCTACCTCTGCGGAAGCACAGTTCCCGCTCAGCCCAGTCAAAACTGTTCGCTGCTCTGGCACCCCAATGGTGGAACAAGCTCCCTCACGACGCCAGGACAGCGGAGTCACTCACCACCTTCCGGAGACACTTGAAACCCCACCTCTTTAAGGAATACCTGGGATAGGATAAAGTAATCCTTCTACCCCCCCTTACCCCAACCCAAAGAAATAAAAATAAATAAACATATTGTAAAGTGGTTATCCCACTGGCTATAAGGTGAATGCACCAATTTGTAAGTCGCTCTGGATAAGAGCGTCTGCTAAATGACGTAAATGTAAATGTTATATACATACATAGGGAAACAGACCATTGCGTAAGATCCACATTCCAGTCTACTCTTCTCAAGGGACATGGCATAAGGACATTTGGAAACAGTGATTTAACACCCCCACCCCACCCAACTCCTACTTTTTGTTACGTTGGCATGTTACCCAGTGATGCACATTCTTTCCTCATGTAGAAAACACAATACATTATTCTAGGTCAGAGCCACAGACTGTTCAGTACACCGCTGCCTCTGGAACAGCCATAAAATGCCCTACATGCTTACTCAGACTGCAGCCTGGAATTCTATAGAAACTAGGGTTGGGCGGTATCCAGATTGTCATACCTTCATACCGACCTTGTGCCATCCCGGGATATTTGGTAATACCGGCACTGAACACAAGGGGAGCTATTTTCAATCCAAAGGATTTGTAAAGTTCCATAGCGAATATACAGTTATACACTCTCCTCTGACATAAACTATTTACAGGACAGACATCCCAGCTCATAAAGTTATACAAGTAACTCAAATGCTACTCACAGTTTGCTGCATGCACAAAACAAATATTAGACCGCAAGGCTCTCGATCCAGGAGAGCCAGCTGTTACCAAGTGGCGCTTGATTGCAAGAAGCTAACACTTAGAAAGATAACTAGCTACTAAGTTAGCAAACCAAATGCACAACTGCCGAACATTTAGCACATTTTAGACCGTTAACTTAATGCAGGACTGCCCAACCCTCTTCCTGGAGAGCTACCATCCTGTGGGTTTTCAGTCCAACCCTAACTTAACACACCTGATTCTACTTATTAGCTGCTCAACAAGACCTTCACTAGCTGAATCAGATATGCTAAATTAGGGTTGGACTGAAAACCTACAGGACAGTAGATCTCCAGGAAGAGGGTTGGGCAGCCCTGACTTAATGGTTAGCTTATAAGAGATCTAGCTGGCAAACATTTAGTTGTGAGTTTCATACTGGTGTGTGCTGCACAACAGTTAGTGACTCACAAGGCTCCGGTCTCTCGTCATTGTGTGCTTGTAAACAACATGTGACTGGGGACTACCGGGAAGCTTCATGATGTAGAATAATGTGACAGGTGAAATGAAGAACGCAATCTGCTTTATCTGTTAACATGTTGCACAAGTTGACTGCAGGTATTTATTTAAAAAGTAGCTACAAATATTCAAATGTAATAAAAAATGTCAAATAAATAGTTTCAACGGTATCGACGGTAGGGGTGTAACCGTTCACCAAACCCATGGTGTGGTACATATTGTGGTTTTAGGGTCACGGTTCTGTTTTGGTACAGCGGAAAATTAAATGCCTTTCACAATGTTAATTATTCACAATGTTCCTGGCATTGTCTGTTGTGACAGGATTGTTATGTTGGGCCTCTCAAGTTTCCACTTTGATGCTGCATTTGTAACCATGTGGGAGGTGGGAATTTACCAGTTGTGAAGTCATAAATACCAGTTGGATGATTCATGTGATTTGAACTCATTGACAAAGCTGATTGGCTAATGGCTAGTGCTGAGCGATTAACCGGAATTTCAGTTATTTTTCGTTTTTAAACAACTAATTGACCGACATCGGTTCAATAATTAGAATTCCATTTAGTTCGTTTTTTTTCTGTGAGATCAATCCGTCCGTACATTGCACAGTTTCTCTAGAGATCCAGCCTGAACTGTGCAATGTAGTAGGCAGTTGTAGTTTCCAACAGGCCAATATTCTACATAGTTTAGCGCATAAAACGGGGGAATTAACTACAATGACCATAATCTATTGCTCATCTACTAGTCCGGTCTGTGTTTATTTTACGACTGCTACTACTGAAGAGAGAAGAGTGCGCGATCGTGAGGTGATATAGAGAGCAGCTGTTGCGTCGCGAGGTATTTCTACCTGAAAATACATGATCTAAGTGAAAAATTATCTAAACCGAAATTGAAAACAGTGATTTTTTTTTTTTTTTATCGAACCGAAACCGAACCAACCTCAAAAATCACTACTAATGGCCAACAAGCTGCATGAACCATAAACAAAAAATACAGCTATCATTCTTGTAAATAAATTATCGAGTTAAATAAATAATGTTTTGTTGTTGCATTTAACTGCTGAAAATGCTGTTATAGAGTAGGCTTTGGCGGTATACCGTATATACCGTATACCTGGGTATTTGGAAATAGCCACGGGATGGTTTTTCAATACCGTCAATACCGTTGAAACTGTTTCTTTGAGGTTTTTCAATACATTTTTATATTTGTAGCTACTTTTTAAGTAAATGCCTACAGTCAACTTGTGCAATACGTTAGAAGATAAAGCAGATCGGGTTCCTCATTTCACATGTCACATTATTTTACATTATGAAGCCTACCATAATTCCACAGAATAGTTGAGCCAGTCATGTGTTTGTTTGTAAATTGCACCGCGGGAGAAAGCCGGAGCAGGTGAGTCCAGCTGTGTATTGACAGGAGTCGCGTTTTATATTGAAAGTCAACAGTGTTTTTTTGCTTCAATAGAGTGATCAGGGGCGTACAACTATAGTTTTCCTTGTGCAACACATTCAGCAGAAAATAGCTTCATTTTCATCAGATGACAACAGAAGTGCAATGCAATTTGGGTGGCAGCCACACAAGTAAATGAGCTTACATTTAAAAAAGCAAGGTCTTTTTTGCAAAAAAACGATGCATGGCCATTGTAAAGAATATAGCCAGCAACAAAATGTATAATGTTTTGCTTAAAGTTAATCTTGCATTTTACCTGAGAAAAGTAGGCTGGCTAAATTGAGAAAAGTACCGTAGAAAAATCAGTCAGAGCACTGTCTGTTGATAGAATGCCCATTTGCGAATTCTCATTAGAGTGGAGAAGTGCGACTGAAGCAAAAAAGTGGTCTGATGCCGGGCAGAAATTACAATAAGCATTTTAGATCTGCGTTTACAAAACGCAGCAAGATATTAAGCATTTTATATTTTTTCCCTGCGTGAAAACACAGAATTCTGCATTAACCTTAAGTTTAACTTTCTAGTTATCTAAGTAAGTGGCTGAATTAATAAGGTGACAGGGGATCACATTGTGTTAGCTTTCTGCCGTGTTTGAGAAGTCAAAGCTCTTTGGATGAGTTATCTGTACAGCTGCCACTGCTGTCTTGTTTTTCTTGCATTTTTTCCTCTCCATTCTCGGCCCGTCTGCTCGTCCCCCCTCTTCTCTGAGCAGAGCAGGCAGGCCCGTTACCCTAACGAACCCAGACTCCACACAGACACAGCGTGTACACATGCTGCTCCAGAGCCAGTACTGTATTTGTATTTGTATTTATTATGGATCCCCATTCAGCAGCTACTCTTCCTGGGGTCCAGCAAAATTAAGGCAGTTATAACATTACAATACATTCATAACAGATTTCACAACACACCAAGTGTGTGCCCTAAGGCCCCTACTCCACTACCACATATCTACAACACAAAATCCATGTCATTAAAACCCACATGGACTACGATAGAATCGATGTCCATGTCCTGGCATAGTACATTGTTGTTCTTCCTTCAGACAAGCATGCGTCAAAACGTTGTCTCTCGTTCATATTCGCTTGTGAATGTCCAAACTCACCAAAAATTACATTCAGTAGCTGCTACCTATATATGTATAACTGTATGAGCTAGATTGCCTGTCTTTTCAATTGGTTTATTTTTGTTTGCGCTCGTTCGCATATTTAGCTAGCAGCCTCCATGGAAATTCACTATTACTTGTGCTAATTTTGTTAGCATTCTGGTAATAGACGCCCAATGGGCTTTTTTTTGTGTTTTTGGCGCACCGTTGTGTACTAAACCGGGTAATACCATAAATCCCGAGATGAGAGAAGGACAGTATGAAAATCTGGATACCGCCCAACCCAATTATAGAGGCCATTTCCTTAGTAGGTGACATCAGAGGTCACTATATGGGAAAAGTGTGTCTCCTGAGTGGCGCAGTGGTCTAAGGCGCCGCATCGCAGTGCTAACTGTGCCACTAGAGATCCTGGTTCGAATCCAGGCTCTGTCGCAGCCGGCCGTGACCGGGAGACTCATGGGCGGCGCACAATTCGTCCAGGGTAGGGGAGGGAATGGCCGGCAGGGATGTAGCTCAGTTGATAGAGCATAGCGTTTGCAACGCCAGGGTTGTGAGTTCGATTCCCACAGGGGGCCAGTATAAAAAAATAAAAAAAGATGTATTCACTAACTGTAAGTCGCTCTGGATAAGAGCGTCTGCTAAATGACTAAAATGTAAAATGTAAGTGGGTGCTCAGGGTGATAGACGAGTTTCGCACTAGTAATAACCAGTTGGAGGGCCGTTTAAGTGGATTTTTCCCAGTCGTATGTAGTAAATTCCCACTTCCCACTTGGTTACGAACACACCATGACACTGCCTCCTTCAAAATGTTTATCTGACTCAATAAAGGTAATTAACATATACAAGCAAGCATTAGGCAATGAGTTGACGTTGACTAGCAATAATCGGTCTAGAGTTTAGAGTTCACCCTGTACAGATACAAGTTACCACAGAGATCATACATCCATATAGACATCCATATAGATAGCATCAGAGTTATCCTCAGTGAACAAGTTTCATATAGATACCAGACATAGATACTATAGTATTGTTCTATCAAACATTCAATAGTCAGTACTCTGGATACTGTACCAGAGAGATACATTTTGGCCCCTCAGAGGGGGAAGGGCTGACTAGTCCTTGGGAATTATCCTTTGTGCTTCACTTGTGTTCCTGGACCATTTCCCATGCAGCTCCAGGTGACAGAGAGTACATAAATTAGGGCCTAGGCTACATGTGTAAAGTAGTATTATCAGGATAATGTGAAAGTAAGAATGTGAACACCTGAAAGCTTGATGAAGGAAGCAACATTGTATTGCTACATCTGTTTTGAATTCAGTGAGTTGTGTTAACTACTGTTTCTTACAGTAACATGATTTGTGTACTGTCACAGTAGCAGTTACGTCTGTGGCGTCATATGCTCTATTTGCATCTAAAGCAGATTCTGTTAAAAGTTGGAGGGTGCTTTATCTTGCCAATATCTCAAAAATGCCTAAAAAAGGCCAACAATGTCTACTGTAATATTCCAAGTCAGCCAAGGACAGGTTTTACGAGACTATGAGGAAGCTGAAGTCTCACAAGGCTGTCATGCTTTCCAAAATGTCTCAAAAGCATATGAATAAGTCGTACAAGTATTCACAATTCCTGATCACAGCCCTCAAATTCAAACACAATTCAAATGTTGAACCTGAATATGATTTTCAAGGTGTCATTGTTTTATACAGGTCATGCTAGGTCCACAGGCATGCACTGGTAGTAGTAGCATTTCCCTTGTATCGGTAGCTAGCTAGCCCACAGGTCATAGCGTATTCATTGTATCGGTAGCTAGCTAACTGCTAACTGCTCTCTCCACAGGTCATAGTATTTCCATTGTATCGGTAGCTAGCTAACCGCTAACTGCTCTCTCCACAGGTCATAGCATTTCCATTGTATCGGTAGCTAGCTAAACCGCAAACTTCTCCCTCCACAGGTAGTAACACTCATGTATCGGTAGCTAGCTAACCGCCAACTGCTCTCTCTCTTTCCTCAGGTGCGTTCGCCAAGGTCAAAGAGAGTCAGCGGATGAGCGACGAAGGGAAGATGGACCAGGACGAGGCAGACGGAGTGCGTAAACGCTGCCGGACAGTGGGATTCGCCCTACAGGCTGAGATGAACCACTTCCACCAGCGCCGCGAGGTGGACTTCAAGGAGATGATGCAGGCCTACCTCAAACAGCAGATCGCCTTCTACCAGCGCGTGGGGCAACAGCTGGAGCGTACCCTGCACATGTACGACAACCTGTAGAGGCTGGGCTTGTCATCAGCCCTGACGTTATCCTTCTGATCCGAAATGGCCACCCAGTTCAACGGGGCCTCCTCAGGGGTTGCCAAAAAGCCTAGTGGAAATAGAGACATCCCACTGGACACACACTGGTTGTTTCAACGTAATTTGTCAACGTATTGTGACGTGGAATCAACGTGGAAAATACATTGGATTTGAAAAAAGTAATCAACCAGTACTGTTTTCATAATTGAAATTAGGGTAAAACTTCAACTTAACTACATAGACTTAACCTGATTAACAGGTTGTTACATCAATCTAATTTCAACATATTCATCAGAACTATGTATACGTTGAAATTGCGTTGAAAATTCCACGTAGAAACATCAAGAATCTTCAACCTTGGGTGGTTGAAATGATGATGAATTTCATATTTGATTAGACATACGTTATTTGACCTTGTTTCAATGCTGATAGTAAAATGGTTGGTTTGAATCAACATCATTGTTTCAATGTCATGCCATCAACCTAAATAGAGGTATGTTGAAACAAAATGTGAAGCCACAGTCCAATGATTCGGGCCTGAACAGTGACTCCTACATGAGGGGTAGTGCACTTCAGTGAGAAAAAGTCTACTATCCAGATGCCTACCTCTATGTACCCTGCTTAGCTTTGGAAACAAGCTGTGATTCAGCTGAGCTATCATGTCAACACATTTAGACATTGATCAGCTTCCATAATCATTTGCTTAGACTACCTAAATACCATTGAATAGTTGAAAGTAACTCCTCTGACTTTTCTTACACAAGCTGTATGTGAAAGTAAATTTGGAGTGAGATTGGGTTTATTATGTAAGCTACATTGACATCTGATTTGCCCAAAGGACACAATAATTTCAACGCTAGGTATACTATCATGGCTGATTGGATCTTTGGAAGTTTAGAAGTATAAGTAGTTACCATTAGCCTTTTAATTAGGATGCCGAATGTACCTCTTTATTTCGGTTGATGGCATGAAGTTGAAACAATGACGTTGATTCAAACCTACCATTTTACTATCAACATTGAAACAAGGTCAAATGAAATACGTCTAATGAAATATATAATTCAACATAATTTCAACAGTGTTGGGGAAGCTACTCTGAAAATATAGTTTACCAAGCTACCAATTACATCACACTGGAAGAAGTTAAGCTACACTAAAGCTACCCTTAAGAAAAATATAGTTTACTTAACTAAAGTTACTTTGAGAAAGTTGTTCAATAAATCCAAAGTACTATCTGAAAGAGAAAAAGGAGAGAGAGAGAGACAGCGGGGAGAGAGAGAGAAAGAGAGAGAGAGAGAGAGAGAGATAAAATGTCATAGACTACAAATTGCAAGAACAGTTCACTTTGGGGTCATATGTTAATATAATGTGTAATTTAGCCTATTAAACACGATAACAATGTTTCAAGTGAGAATTTGGCAGGTCTGATGCCGAAAAGCCAAACAAATATTTCCTACTTTACCCATATTTTATTTTATTTTTTAGCAAAAAGAGTAATGTGTATTTCCAGTAGTTATCTACACTGCATGGCAAAAAAGTAATTATTTACTGATTTGACTTTAGATTTGACTTTAGTTCAACTACCACCAAGCTACTGCAAATGTAGTTAAATTACTAGTTGAACTACATGTAGTTCACTACTCCCCAACACTGAATTTCAACCACACTAAGTGTACAAAACATTAGGAACACCTGGTCTTTCCATTACATAGACTGACCAGGTGAAAGCTATGATCACTTGTTGATGTCACCTGTTCAATTGAGACAAGGATTGTGTATGTGTGCCATTCAGAGAGTGAATGGGCAAGACAAAATATTTAAGTGCCTTTGAAAGGGGTATGGTAGTAGGTGCAAGGCGCACCGGTTTTGGTCAAGAACTGAGGGCAAAAGGGAGGGGGCGATAGAACTCAATATTAGGATGGTGTTCCTAATGTTTTGTACATTTAACCAGGATGAACATAGGATGAAAAATATTTGGTACGTTTCTGTGTGGAATTTTTAATGCACTTTCAACGTATACATAGTTCTGATGATTATGTTGAAATTAGATTGATGTAACAACCTGTTAGTCAGGTTAAGTTATTGTATTCAAGTTGAAGTTTTACCGTAATTTCAATGCTTACAACACTGGTTGAAATTAGATGAAAACAGTACTGGTTGATGACCTTTTTCAAATCCAATGTATTTTCCACATCCACAATACGTTGACAAATTGCATTAAAACAATGTTGATTCAACCAGTGTGTGCCCAGCAGGCTGTAGCTGGGAAAATGTATCTCTTTATTCTCTTTCTTCATGGTGGACCATGATAGTAACACAAACCCTGGCTTGAAAGAAGAGAGGGGTTGTTGGGGTTGCTGCCTTATAAAGATTACTTTCTGATTATTTTGGCTTGAATATGGGCCAAGAGGTTCGTAGACTCGGACAGAAAGAGGGCATGTACTTGAAGAGGCTGGGGAAGCCAATTTGTGCACTTCACGTAATAGTCACTTTCCAGGCTGAAATTCGAAGTTGAAATTCTTGGTTTCAAGGGACTTACACCATTGTCTTCTTCATAAATACACCAATTTTGCTATGTTATGACCAATATGTTTCTTTGTTTGTATACGATACCATCTATTTAAGGTGTTTGCAACAAATCTTAATATGTTAAATGATAGGTGGTATTTAATAATTATTTGTAGAGGGTTAAAGACAGGCATGTGTAGCCTTAATGCTTGGACAATTCCGAGCAGACGGTAGAAACTGAACTCCTTTAGTGTAATGTATGAAAACCATGACAGAGTCCATACCATCTCCTCTCCAGTTGAGTTTGCACAGGGGCTTTGTACCCGTTGATCATGGTGTGTGTGTGCGTGCATGCATGCATGCGATTATAATTTGCTGGGTTATTGATAGATTCCTTGTTCTTTCTGTTGCAACAAACATTTGCCCAGCAGTCTTGAAGTTGGAAGTACTTAATGTTACAGTAAGTGTAAACAAGGAGTAATCACCCCCCTTATTTGAGAAACAATGTTTGCTTTGAACATAGTGTTCTTCTCTGAACTGAACCATTACAGCACCAATTTCAGTGTTGATTACCAAATAATTTAAGTTGTTCCAGTCATATTACACATAGATTTTAATAGGAGCTATCTTGTGAGACTTTATAGAGATATGTGGTTTGTTTGAGCTATCTTTAGAACTATGATGAATCTAAGAGGTTAAGACAGAGACACTGCTTCGCAGTGAAAGCATTACCTCAAGAACAGTCAAGTAAATTATGAAATTATTAAGTCCATTCACATGCTTTAATTGGCCTTTCCCAAGTACTGTTAAATAATACAGTACTCTACTCAGGGTTTTTATTCTGATCATGTAATGTGGAATTTTGAGGTATAAATGTCTAGCACAGACCCCAAAGAGATGCATTGTGCATTGATCTCCTGCCATGTACTTCCATTCACCACAATTTGACAGGACAAAAACGAATCACCAAAATAACAATACTGTTATTGGATGATGTCCTCTTTTTCCAGTAATGCTTGAGACCATAGTTTCAGTAAATAAACAAAGACTGCCCTGCATTACCTTCTTAGTTAACCACAAAAGTCTGACTCTGTCTATGACTCAGTACTGAGTGTTGTTTCAGTGGCTGTTCCGCTTCCAACGTACATTCCAGGGTATGGGCAGATGTAAAAACCAGGTGTTTCACAACCCTTCCTCATCTTCTTGCCTGTCTTCTTATTGCACAAAGACCAAAGTAACACTATTTAGTGCTCAGTTTCAAATGAAATGAAAGGGTCTCTCAATAAATAGCTGGCCATACATAGGAGGTGGTCGAGTGTTGGCTGTCTTCAATAGTTTTCTTATTCAAACGGTCACATTTTGAGGAGATGGGGATGACAACCTCTGTGGAAAGAGACTAACAGGGCAAAAGGAGAAGGAATATTCAGGGGAAAAGGACTGCAAATGATTCCATGTGAAATGTTACACTCACCTACTCTGACTACCACTGGCAGTGCGATGGTAATGTAAGGACATGTAACCATGTTGATAAACTGAATGGCTGGTGGAAGGACACTGAGTCTCACACAAATGATTCTGGCTTAACGAGGATGTGTGAGACTGGGACTGGCATGATGAGACCTATGGTTCTGTTATATTTTCCTATATGGAAATACGTACTGTCTTAGGTTTTTGGCATGAGGAACGATGTCACTAAGGGAGGCTCTGAAAGTCTTAATAAAAGCAATCATGCTGATTCTGATTCTGAATGTTGTTTATCTATCTTTGTGCATGGAGCAGTGCATTAATGTTGCCTTGGGGAGAGATGGGAGAGATGAGGGGTGCTTTCTGGAGCCTTCAAAAGATATGGTATGAATACACACTATACACATTGTATTAATAAATTCCTGCGTAAAAGACACGAAAAGGCACTTATGCTGTAAACACAATGATAGATGACATCACATAATATGGAAATGTTCCCAGCTTTGACTGGGAAACTACTGCAACGAATCAAACTCCCTCTATGCAAACTTGTAAAACAAAATATGGAGAAGGATAATTGTTAAAAAATTTTTTTTACAAGTTTACATAGAGAGAGTTTGATTCGTTGCAGTAGTTTCCCAGTCAAAGCTGGAAAAATATCAATTTTATGTCAGCAAGTATTCTCACATATTTCCTATGGCGTATGCATTGCACGGTGGGAATGGTTGTCACTGTAGAAATGTAACAAATGCACCTCCCCTTGCCCCCAAATTCTCATTAACAGAAGAGTGATCAAATGAACATCCTACACCTGTAACAAAGCAGGATGCCACCATATCGTCCAATTATGTCAGAACTGTTATCACCTGGGGCCTCCCCAGTGGCGCAGCGGGCGAAGGCATTGTAACTACCAATTGGATATCACGAAATCGGGGAGAAAAGGGAGTAATGAAAAATTAACAACTGTTTTCACCATGAGGAACGAGGGGATGAGGAATTTATTCTTC